TAAGCAAGACTGTCTGGGTCATAAAATTTGAAGTGGTGAAAACATCTTGTCAATTTTATCTGCAGTCTTTCTCTTCCAATGTCAAATTCAATAGATTCAATAGATTTTTTAGGTGAGTATATTTTTTTCATTTATCTTTGTCATTTCACAAATCTATAATTTTTATCTCCCTTTCTCTCTCTCTCTCCCTTTTGATGTGTGTGCGTGTGTATATTTGCCAGAGAGACACAGAAATACAGGGCAAGAGGGAGAGGAGAAAACACCACCCCTCTCATAGGGAATAGTCACAGTCACACTGCAAACCCTTCTTTTCTATTATTTTCTTCTTAGGTGTCCAGGTCTCCAACAGAGTGCTTGGCCATATGGGATCCAACTGCTTTAACCAGTAGGCCACAGAGCTGCCCCATAAAATTGTCCTTTCAATTATGCTTTTAAAAGAATTGTAATTGCCTCTTTGTTTCTAAGTATATTTGGCTTCAGGATTACATGTTATTGCTTCAAAGCGTTCATTAAATATGTTTTCACCATAAGTTATTGTTATAATTGGAAATGAAATATTTCATGGAGAATGTACTATATTATCAATTTAAATAATGTTAGTTAATTGTATGCTACATCAAGTTGAATTTGCAAATGTATATGTTAATTAAAATTCATTTAATTAATACACCATGTGCACACTGGCAGGTCTCAACTTCAATGAATTAATTTAATATCTTAATGGTATCTATTTAAGATCTTATTTATCTTACCTTTTTGAAGAATTATTTTTTTATATAGCTTTATTTATTTATTTATTTATTTATTTATTTTTTAATTTGATCATAGAAGAACAAATTGAACAAGAGAGATAGAGAAAGTGAGAAAGCAAGCTACCAGGTCAGGGATTTGAACCATGGTCAGCCATGTGGGAGTGTCCAGCACCTTAACCACCATGCCACCTGCTGGCCTCTATGTCTTAAATTTTTATATGACTTTTAGAAAATGATGATGGTGTACCTTCAATGGTATTTTGGAATTTAGAGCATGTCCCTTTAGTAGATTTTTAACAACTTACTTTTAAAATATTTTGAAGATATACAGAGTTTCAAAAAACTTTGAATTCAAAACAGGAAAAATATTGAAACTTATGGAACTACATACGATTGTGAATTTGCAGCATTTATAAGCTTCTGTTTTTTTGTTTTTTTTTTTTTAGATAGAGATTTTTGCTATCAGGCTTATGTGCTTGCCAGAGAGACAGAGAGAAACAGCTCCAGAATGTGAGAAATCACCCCCCTTCTCCTCCATTCTCCTCTCAGGACCTTGAGCAAGCACACACACACCTCTGGTGTGAGTTTTAAGCCACCAGGTCCAGGACTCTAACCACGGTCGACTACATCGGAGTTCAGTGACATAGCCATTATGCTAACTGCTGGTCCCAAGTATGTACTTAGCTTAAGGGTACTCAACTTGATCACAATTTTCAAGGAGTTCCTCTTTAGAAGTTTCCTATAGGATTAAACTAGTTATCGCATAGGAAATATTATTTAGGCTCTATAAATATATCACATTATTTCTAACTATATCATATTATCTTTGTACACTATTTATCCAATTCCTTTTATTCAAACTTACAACTTTGAAATGCCTACTTTATCAACAGATTAGTTTTCTATATTTAGTTGTATCCTGATTATAGCTTATAAAACTTAATTTGAAAGGCAGAAAATTTCTTAATTATTATCTTGTATATATGGCTGTGTTCTAGTGAATGTAAATGTTATATACCTCAGACATTTGCATTATTTTAATACTGCTCATTTGTATTATTTAATTTTCTTTGGGCAGTTCGTTTTTTATTAATTTTTTTTCTAATACCTTTTATTTAAGAATGTTAAATCTCTGGGGTCAGCAGGTGATGTGGTGATTAAGGCACTTGATATCACACGACTCACTCTGCAGTTCAAGTCCTGGACCTGGAAGCTTGGAAAACACATCAGGCACTTGTGAGTGTGTGCCCAAAATCCCAAGAGGAGAATGGAAGAGAAGGGATTGCAGCATAGCCATCCCCTCTTAAGGGTGATTTCTCATTTTTTCTCTCTCTGTCTTTCTCCAGTGAATGCACATGCTCTATGGCAAAAAATCTAAATAAAAAAGAAATATTAAATCTCTGAACTTTAATTTCTGTGAGGTAAAAGACCATTTATGTCTTAATTCTCATTATAATGTTCTAAATACTCTACATAATATGAATTTAATAAATATTTGTTAATTAATTCAATAGACTTATTATCTACTTTTTGTGGCACAGGTACTTCTTTTGTTTAAAGCTTGTCACTTGTCTCGTTATGGTGTTTTGTAATATATTTATATTTTGAATGGTTATGTGGTTAAATCTACTTATACTTGTCTTAGTTTACTTTTCTTTTTCTATTTCTTTTCTTTTTTATGATAGGGTCCCACTAGTAGTGATCCTCCTGCTTCAGCCTCCCAAGTGTCTTAATTTCTTCATTAGTTTTACATGAAAAAGGTCCTTTTCCAAATCTAGTGTTACAAAATTTAAGTTGTCACAAAATCCAACTGTCTTTCTTTTAATGGAATAAAATGAATGCAAAATCTTGATCTATTCCATAGGTTTCCATGCAGCGTTTTTTTTTTTTTTTTTTTTTAGACAGATTTTTGCTATAGGGCATGTGTACTCACCAGAGAAAGAGAGAGACAGAAAGTGAGAAATCACCACCGAGGGAAGCAATTCTTTCTTCTCCATTCTCTTTCTGGGGTTTTGGGCATGTGCACATATGTTCCCAGTGTGACTTTTAAGCAGCCAGGACCAGGAATTCAACAGCAATCGAGACAGAAAAAGAGAAATCACCACCCAGGGGTGCAATTCTTTCTACTCCATTCTCTTTTTGGGGTTTTGGACATGTGCACACATTTTCCCAGTGTGACTTTTAAGCAGACAGGACCAGGAATTCAACAGCAATTGACAATGGGAGTCCAGCAATGTAACCATTACACTATCTGCTGGTCTCTTCCACACAGCTATTCTTCTGTGTTCAAGTGACTCAGGTCTTTTTAAGAGCATATGGGTGGTGGGTCCTGTACCATGTCTAAGTCCTGGGGTAAAAGTCTTTCAGACTGTATTTTCTATTTTATCATTTATTTATTTCTCTCTATAAATTGCATATGAAAGTCTGTGACAGTACCAGGCTTGGTTTGGAGTAATAGGGTGAAAATTTTGATCACTGTCAATATCCACATTAAACTGTTATTCAAGCAGGAAAAAAATTTCTGTTCTGGGACAAGCAGGTGACATAGTGGTTAAGGTACTGGACACTCCCACATGACCAACCATGGTTCTAGTCCTGGACCTGGTGGCTTGCTTTCTCACTTTCTCTCTCTCTCTCTGTATCCCTCTCTGGTCAAGTTAAAATAAATGAATTATTAAATAAGTAATTCTTTAAAAAAATTCTGTCCTAAGCCACTGGGAATTGAGATAATGTGTTGGCTATCAGTATTAATTAAACTAATGCAAATAGAACATATAATCATCCACATAAAAGTTTATGTAACCTTTACATATTTAAAATGGACTTAATTTGATTTATTCCAAAATTAATTTTGAGTATTATCTGAGGCAAAAATTCAAGATTAACTTCCATTCCCTTTAACCACCATTATTTACTTAATAACAATATACTTGCGCTTATTGATTTTAATATACCCAAACAATACATAAATTTTGCAGAAATATTTTATTTTTCTGAGCTTTCCTGCAAACACACAGTTGTATACCCCCTTAAATTGGATTAGCAGTTACCTGAGAATAAATTCACTTGGAAAGAATCAAATGGAATTACTATATCATTTTCTGCTACCGATTTAGAAAGAGTTACCCAGAGAAAATAAAATTTACATTTTGTACCAAAAATGGAAGGTAGAACTAGTAGCTTATGAATGTACTAATCTAGATAAATATTTCCACAAGAGTAATAAATCAGAGTAAATAAGAGAATAATAGAGTAACTATTTTATTAGAGTAATAAATTAGTAATTAATAATAAATTAGTGACTTATTCAAGATTTTAAACCAAGCTCCAATTGAGATACCATTTGAGCTTTATTGATCACATTTGAAAGTATATCCAGTACAATGGTGTTTAGTTGAACACTGATTCTTAGCTAACTAATTAACTCTAGACACTGAAAGTTTACCATAATCTGTCAAATAAAGAGCCTAAGAATGTGACCATAGTGAAAAGAAGCTGGAATCAAATGAAAGTTGCAGATTATATTATCAACCAATGGTTTAATGGGATGATATCCTATTGTTAAATATCACCTAATTATCAGAAAATTCATACCCATTCACTTTTGATTAGATTGAGAGCAGAGCAATCTTTAACTATTATTTTTATTTTGTTAACATAAAGAAATATATAAAGTTCAGAGTGAAAAGTAGAATGAGGACAAGAAAGTAGATGATTGGAACACAGATATTAATAATAGAATAATATGTACTGAGGAAAAACTTTATATTAACATTAGTTGAAAATTGTGAGGATGATTTGATTTTCAAAGATCCATTTATATTTTAACAAATTTGAGCAATTTTTTAGTAAAATGGGGTTCATTGACATTCGTAGTCATGGAAAGACATTAATTCTTTACTCTCTTTCTGCCATCTTTATCTATTTCACATGAAATCAAGGTACACAGTATGTACATAAATACCGTAGGGTATTTGGAGCACCTCCAAGACAATTATTTATTAAAATTTATTACCGAGTTCCTCTAATCATTACTCTATGGCAGTTCAGATAACAAGAATTCTTTTAAAGTAGGATAAAGCATACTCAGTAATTAGAGTCCATACATGGGATAAAATTTCACTCTGTTAGATGTAATCTTTCAGTATATGTAGATATTTCCTTTCTAAAATGCCTTTTGAGCTAGATCTTTTAAGTATGGTTATTTATAATTGGAGTCAAATTACCATGCAAATGTGTATTACAGGTTTACTGCCCCAGGGTTGCTTTGGCGACTGCCTTGTTGACTGCCTCTTTCACATCCTTGTTCCTCAGACTGTAGATCATGGGGTTCAGCATGGGGATCACCGTGGTATAGAACACAGCCACCATCTTCCCCTGCTCCACAGACTCCTCTGTGGGACGCCGGAGGTACATGAAGATCAGAGTCCCATAAAACATGGAAACAGCTGTCAAGTGAGACCCACAGGTGGAAAAAGCCTTCCTCCGCCCATCAGCGGAGCGCATGCGTAACACAGCTATGACAATGAGGGTGTAGGAGATGAGGACCACTGAGAGGGAATAGGTAAAGTTAATTCCAGCAATAACAATCATGGTGTACTCTTTGATGTGTACTCCCCCACAAGCAATCTTTATGAGTGGAGGGTCTGCACAATAGAAGTGGTTGATTTCAAAGTTTCCGCAGAAGTACAAGCCGTATGTCCACAGTGTACAGATCAGACTAACAGAGAAGCCATAGATGTAAGGCACAGAGATGAGGCGAACACACACAGTCCTGGACATCTTACTGCCGTAGAGCAATGGGTTGCAGATGGCCATGTAGCGATCAAAGGCCATCACTGCCAAGATGTAGACCTCCACGTGGACGAGAGCAATGAAAAAGTAGCACTGCACCAAACACCCCACGTAAGAAATGGTTTTAGTGTCTGATAGTAAGTTTTCCAGCATTTTAGGGGTAACATTGGAGGAGAAACACACATCCACAAAAGACAAATGACTCAGGAAGAAGTACATAGGGCTCTGAAGCTGAGGACTGATGCTGATCAAAATGATCATACCAATATTCCCTAAAAGAGTGATGATGTAAACTACTATAAATACCACAAAAAGGAGAACCCGTAGCTCTTGACGATGCGTCAACCCCACAAGAATAAATTCTCTCACATCTGTGAAGTTGGGCATTGTCTTAACAGATAGATTCTGAGTAGCCTAAGAAAAAAAGAAATAGTGTGAATAGATTTTTTTTTTGAGATTTTTCAAGTTACATTTATCCTTTTTATAATTATTTTGAAAAGCGTTGTAAATGTTGCCCAATACTCAATATAATGATTAAATGTCCTATATATTTAAAAAATTGGGCACATAACATAGTTTTCACTGGTTTTGATTCCTTCTTCCAACATGTTTTCATGACTCTAGCTCACCTGTTCTGCATCATTTTAAGTGTAAAATAGTAGATAGATAAGAGCTGTGCTTTTTGGCTGTGAAATAAAACTATCCATGGGGATTTTCCTATAAAAAATTTTGACCTCAAATCAAGCACCCACATTTTCCCATTACCGTAATTTTATCTGGGTTAATGCTACTACTATGTTGTTTTAGATGTAGAATATATAAATCATTAAGGAATCTAGAAAACATGGATTAAATACCATTTTTCCAGGTTTGTCTTAGCCATCATCCGTTATGTTGAAGCAGGAGTTGTTTTGTTTACCTTGGATCTCCTTAACCTGCTTTGTTCAATAGTCATATTTAGGTGGGCGGAGGGGCCCTGCGCCGGCCCACCCGGGCCCGGCTTCAGGCCCCCGCCACCCCAGGGACCCGCGCAGAGCGAGGCGGTGGCGGGAGGCAGGCCCCCCACCCGGGGGTCTGCCCGGCGGTCAGCTGCCCCTTCCGGGAGG